GAGACGTTGAGAAAAAAAAAAAAACCATCAAATACCCGGTAAATGAATTTACCATCAATCTTTGTTCAAATAAGTCTTCAATGAATTCTCAAGCTTCGCCTCTATGAATGCAGAGTAGGAACTGCTCAGGTATCTGGAGTTGAGAACCCGTTTCTGTAAAGTGGTCAACAAAAAGAAAACAATGACGAGACAGTGACGTCAATAGAATTAATAGTTCAGTGACTAGGCTAGGTAAGTGTGATCGATTCTCCGAGAGTAATGATTGTTGAGCGTTGATATACGAGACATCGAACGCCTAAAAGCCGACATCTGTCTGCTAGAAAAAGCCCGCCAAGCAATCACCACCCTGTATTCCGTAAGTTAGAGATATAGGGATCTTCATCTGAACAATTGCCTAACACACTACTGGCCAATTTACAGTGGAGATATATGGTCATGAATTTTTTAATTTTTCATCAATGACCGGTCACTACTGGACCAGCTTCTAGTTGGACTAGGTTCGTAAAGGATTCCTTTGACATCACGCATTTCCATCACACAATTACTGCTTCATAAATGGGCATCGCAAATTTACAGCTTCTGCATGGCAGCGATATCAGTGGACTGGACGTGGTCCTCATCCTCCTCGATCTTGCCCTGGAGCTCATCGGTGGAGACCTTCTCGTCCTCAACGACAAGGTTGATCTGGAGCTTCTTGATACCGAAACCGACGGGGACCCACTTGGAGGCACCCCAGACGAGACCGTCCCACTCAATGGCGCGGACGTTGGCCTCCATCTCCTCAAGGTTGGTCTCATCATCTGGAAATGTTTGTTAGCAATTGAACTAAAAGAGAGACTAGAATATATATACCCCAAGGCTTGACCTCCATTGTGACGAGGGACTTGGCAGCGGGCTTGACCTTGCCGGCCTTCTTGGCCTTGTATTCTTCGAGACGCTTGTTGCGCTCAGCGACAACCTCGGGGTCCTCCTCCTCAGAGTCGGAGCCGAAGAGGTCATCCTCCTCATCCTCCTCGGGCTTGTCCTTGGGGTTGGAGGCAAGCTCGGTGGTCTCAGGACCGTAGGCAGTGAAAGCTGCGGAGGAGTCACCGGGGAGGGTGGAGAATTCGCTCTCGTAAGAGGCGATGTGCTTGTACCAGCGGGCAACGTGGGGGTACTTGGCGGCGTCAGGGGCGGCGCTGACGGCCTTGAAGGTCACGACATCGGCCTGGCTGGGGGAGTTGCTGTTGAACAGAGTCAGCGATGATGTTCACATCAGACGAAATAACTCAACAATGTAGCATAGTGAAGCAAGATCAGAGGTGCGATTGCTCGCGATTGGGTGTAGTCATCCAGCGGGGTCTTAATCCGCCTCCTAAACACGGACCAATGTTTCTCATCATGAAAGCATAACAGGAAAGGAAAGAGAACGAAGGGAAAAAAAAGCAATTAAAGGGGGAGGAATCCATACCCAACAACGTAGGACCGAGTCGACAGGAAGTGGTTGGCCACTGAGGGGCACAGTCAGTCACCAATTGATTCGAAATAACAAAATCTCAGGGGTGCCTACGAGTCAGGCCGGCATCAGAGACAAAGTCGGTGAAACCCATTGTGAAAGAGAGTTGTGGTGGTATCTATTCTGGAAGGAGAAGAAAAAAAGGAGAAGAAAGTAGATGAGGGAGGGGTTAAAAAGGGAGGATTTTTTTTTATTACGGAAAATCTCTACGGAGTCGCGGAAAAACGTGGAAGAGCTAAGATTTGTCAGGTGACTTACTGACACCAGAGCTTAGACTGGTCAGGTGACTGGTGACGGAGCTTGAGCTCTCCCCGCCACTGAGCGTTCGCTATGTGGATCTTTCGAGAAGCCTCCCGAGGGATCTTTGGTTGCCGGTATTTAAGCTCTACCGGTGACATCTCAGACCTTGAGATAACCTACGGCGTTTTTCTCTCTCATCACCTACGTAATGGCGGCGAGATTATCCCTCAACGTCCGCGGTCTTTTTTTGCGAACGCCTCGCCTATCATCGACCTATCTTCTATCCCCGATCCCGAGATCAAGCATACTGCCCTGCGCCTCTATCATTCTCCCAGCAATCAACCCTAGCCCGCTCTCTGTCCGTCACTATGCCAAGGGGGGCCGTCCACATCCCCCAGGTGGCACTCACCGCATGGATATGAGTAGAGAGGACGAGAAACCAGCGCTCGAAAAGTATGGTGTTGAGCTCACGGCGAAAGCTAAAGCTGGCAAGCTGGATCCAGTCATTGGACGGGATTCCGAGATCCATCGAACTATTCAAATTCTGTCCCGGCGAACTAAGAACAATCCCGTGCTGATCGGTTCTGCTGGAACTGGCAAGACCGCCGTTCTCGAAGGGCTGGCTCAGCGTATCGTACAAGGAGATGTCCCGGAGAGCATCAAAAACAAACGGGTTGTTTCGTTGGATCTGGGCTCTTTAATTGCGGGAGCCAAGTTCCGGGGCGACTTTGAGGAGCGTCTGAAAGCTGTCCTGAAGGAAGTTGAGGATGCGCAAGGTGAGGTCATCCTCTTCATTGATGAGCTTCACACCTTGCTAGGACTGGGCAAGGCTGAGGGCAGTATTGATGCTAGTAACCTGCTCAAGCCTGCTCTGTCGCGAGGCGAGCTTCAATGCTGTGGTGCCACTACTCTCAACGAATATCGATTGATCGAAAAAGATGTGGCCCTTGCCCGACGGTTCCAGCCTATTCTGGTGAGCGAGCCATCGGTCGCCTCGACTATTTCCATTCTACGGGGGATCAAGAACAAATACGAAGTACACCATGGTGTCAGAATTACAGACGGCGCTTTAGTAGCTGCAGCTACTTACAGCAATCGCTACATCACCGAGCGATTTTTGCCGGACAAAGCGATTGATCTTGTCGACGAAGCTGCATCTGCTCTTCGCTTGCAGCAGGAGTCAAAGCCCGACTCAATTCGGGAACTTGAGCGTGACATTACTACCATACAGATTGAGCTTGAGTCTCTTCGCAAGGAAACTGATGTTGCCAGTCGCGAACGGAGAGAGAAGCTTCAAGAAGATTTGAAGACTAAGCAAACAGAGGCCGGTAAATTGACCGAGGCCTGGGAGGAGGAGAAGGCTGAAATTGATAATATCAAACGCACCAAGGAGGATTTGGAACGCGCTCGATTTGAACTTGAACAAGCTCAACGCGAAGGAAACTTTGCCAAGGCTGGAGAGTTGAGATACTCTACCATCCCGGAGCTCGAAGCCAAGTTACCCAAAGAAGGTGCTGAACAGGATCCTCAAAATCAAACTTTGATTCACGACTCCGTTACTGCAGATGACATTGGAAACGTCGTCTCTCGGACCACAGGCATCCCCGTTAACAAACTCATGGCTGGAGACGTGGAGAAGCTGATTCGGATGGAGGACACTCTCCGAAAATCAGTCCGTGGACAAGACGAAGCCCTTTCTGCTGTGGCAAACGCTGTGCGGATGCAGAGAGCTGGTCTCAGCGGAGAAAATCGCCCTATGGCCTCTTTCATGTTCCTTGGTCCCACCGGTGTTGGAAAGACTGAGCTCTGCAAGAAGATGGCTGAGTTCCTTTTCTCCACCGAAACTGCCGTTTTACGGTTTGACATGAGTGAGTTCCAGGAGAAGCACACAATCAGTCGTCTCATCGGTTCCCCTGCCGGGTATGTCGGGTATGATGATGCTGGCCAGCTCACCGAGGCTGTCAGACGGAAGCCTTACGCTGTTTTATTGTTTGATGAATTTGAGAAGGCACATCGCGATATCTCAGCGCTACTGCTGCAGGTCCTCGATGAGGGTTTCCTGACGGACGCCCAAGGCCACAAGGTCGACTTCCGAAACACCCTGATTGTGTTAACCTCGAATCTTGGAGCTAGTATCCTGGTCGGAGCAGACCCCTTGCACCCAATTAAAGACACCGGTGATGCCGAGCTCCCAGAAAAGGTTAAAACGGCTGTTATGGATGTGGTTCAGAGCGCATACCCACCTGAGTTCATGAATCGAATTGATGAATTCATCATCTTCAGGCGCCTGTCAAAGGATGCTCTACGCGACATCGTCGAGATCAGAATCAAAGAGCTCCAGGCCAGACTCGATGACCGCCGTATGACCCTGAAGGTCGATGACGAGACAAAGGACTGGCTGTGCGAGAAAGGCTACGACCCAAGATTTGGTGCCCGGCCTTTGAACCGTCTCATTGCCAAGGAAATTGGAAACCGCTTGGCTGATAAGATCATCCGAGGTGAAGTTGTCTCTGGTCAAACTGCCAAGGTTTCTCTTGATGAATCTAAGGCTAGCCTGGTGCTGACCACACAAGAGTAAACGAAAACATGAAATTTAGCGTTCTTTATGTGGCACATACGTTGTTTTGCGTCTCGTTTTTTGGGGGATTTTTCGAATGCATGTCGGATCTTCTCTTACATATTATGACTGTATACTACTCTACTCACTCATTGTACAATAATCCAATTCTAATCGTATTGACCGAATTGTTTGTTCTATGTAGACTCGAAGAACGGCCCGTGGACAGGTGACTAGGTCAACAGCCCGTACGATAGGAACTCACCGTTTCATCCTACCCATCATTTCCCTCTCTCGTCGCATATCTAGATATCCCAATTCCATTGGCCTCGGCAAAATGTCTTCTTTAAAAAGAAAGAGAACACCAGCTTCGCGCCCTCCAATCACACCTCGTACCTCTGGGCGACGACTGGGCCACAAGGCTCCATCAAGTCAAGCCCTCGGCATTTCAAGTGGTCCCCCTCAAACCCCTAGCGTTTCATCCGCAAGTCAATTGCGCACTCCGTTTCCTACAGACACTAGGATCGAAACAGATCGGTCCGTGAGGGCTACTGACGATGACTTCGATGACCATGTCATTGCTGCCATCGACATGAAGGACCATGGAACGGTGGGGTGCTCATACTACTCAGCCGAAGAAGAAAAGATGTATCTGCTCGGTGATAGTCGTTCAGGGGATATAGAGACAATCGACGCTCGTGGGTTCATCAGGTGATTATGTCTAGATCTGAAGTGCTAATCTGACCATCTCCAGTGCTTCTCCAAATAAAACCTACGGTGGTTTTGACACCTCCCCGTGTCGACCTTAGTTCGCAGACTCAAGATCAAAATCTCGCACAAGATGGTACATTTGCTTTGCCCTGGAGTTCTTTGACCCTTTCCAATGCAAGCAAATGTTGATAAGTTCTGTCCAGTTTCTTCTGCCTACCTCCCTTACCAGATAGACGTTCGTCCAACGCCGGAGTTCAGCTATTCCAATGCAGAAAGCAAACTCCTTGCTTTAGAGATTTCATCTACACACGAGCAGCGCATCCGGTTCTTCGTGCCTCAAAATGGCCTCGCCGGACCGGAAGAAGTGGACCCAGAAGAGATGGGCTTCACACTTCAAGAAGGAAGACTGTTGCACGTCTCAAGCTCTGTCGACATGGAGAACCCGGTGACTATTGGCTGCGCAGGAGCTATACTCACCTACCTGCAGCGAAGAAGAGCCGCAGCGCCTAGCCCCCTCGAAGAAGGAAATGAGTATCGGATTAGAGCACTGCAGATGTTCAATCTACGAGATACGATGTGGATCAACAGCAATACTTTTACCTCTCTCCAGATTATCCAATCGGAGTCACACCCGAATATGTTTAACCAGGGCCCAGGGAAAAAGTCAGCTTCAGGCAAAGAGGGTCTTTCGGTCTATGGGCTTTTCCAGCACTTTGCATACACCCCTCAGGGTAGGGCAAGACTCAAGCAAACCTTTTTCCGTCCAAGCGTGGATCTAGATACGATTCGCGAACGGCATGATTTTATAGGAGTCTTTTCCCGCCCTGACAATCTTGCTGCATTGGACAAGATGACCAAAGCATTGAAACACGTTAAGAACCTCAGACCTGTCATGGTCAATCTTCGCAAGGGAATTAGTACTGGCAGTGCTAAGATTACTGGGTTCAAAACTACGGTTTGGGCTACTCTTCTTGCAGTATGTTTGATTTTATATCATCCGTCTATGTCAGAGTGGTAGTTTTTGCATTGTGATGATGCTAAGGAAGTAACTGACCAGTTTGCGTTCTACTCTATCGAAATCAATGATGCACTGCGAGAGGTCTCAGGCGCGCACATCCTGGCTCTCCGAAGCAAGGTCAACCCCCAATAGATATCTCAATCCTTCGTGTATTGACATGTTGCAGGCTCTCAGGGTCTTTGAAGCAGCACAGCTGTACAGAGTTGGTCGCATGGTTCAAGAAATTGTAGGTTCCTTTTTAATCGAAGTAACACCGCATCTGACTTTTTAGGTCGACATTGATAACTCTGAAGAACAAGGAAGAACAGTGGTTAAGCAAGGAATTGATAGAGAACTTGACAAAATCAAAGACAGATACGACGGTCTCAACAGCCTTCTCAAGCACGTTGCTCTCGACATTGCTGCAGCAATCCCGGCGACTGTCGACGTCGACGTCAATGTCATTTACTTCCCTCAGCTTGGGTTCAATATTGCCATTCCACTCAATGATCATGGTGCCGCGGCATATACTGGCTCCGATGATAAATGGGAATTGATGTTCATCACTGAGAATCGGGCGTATTTCAAAGACTTCCGCATGAGAGAGATGGATGAGAAGTTGGGGGATATATACGGTATTATCTGCGGTAAGCCTGCTAAATTGATTGGAAGCCATGGATATAGGGAACTGAAATTGTACGTTGACAGAGAAAGAAATCGAGATTGTGTACGACTTGGCGCAAAACGTCCTTCGATATGAGAATGTGCTCGTCGATGCCTCTGACATCTGTGGAGATATTGATAGGTCAGTTCTTGTGGGACATGGTTCGAGGTCCGCTGATACAAAGTCTACAGTCTCCTTGCTTTCACTCAGGCAGCCAGATTCTACAAGCTGACTAGACCACGAATGATTGAACAAAATGTGATCAGAATCAAGGGTGGCCGGTAAGAGCTCGTTAACAATCATCTTTCGACATCCCTGACAAGTGACAGGCACATCCTTCAAGAATTGGCTGTTTCGTCCTATGTGCCAAATGACACATTGCTCGCGGGTGGAAATGAGTCCGAGACCAATGATGCTGCTTCATTCACAGATTCCAATCCTAGCATGTTGCTCTTGACTGGACCGAACTACTCAGGGAAAAGTGTCTATATCAAGCAGGTAAGCTATATTTTGTCTTGAAACTCATTTCCTAACCTAGACCAGGTCGCTCTGATTGTCTATCTAGCACAGATTGGGAGGTATGTCTCTTTTCCATTAAGATGGTCGTACAAAGGCTAATTGTCATAGCTTCGTTCCTGCAGACAGCGCGGAACTGGGAGTCACAGATAAAATCTTGGCCAAAATCAATACTCAAGAGAGCGTCTCCAAGGTATCTCAAATTCTCTGCGTAAAGTTTTGGATTTGGCAGCTCAACATCTCTTTAGATTCAAAGCACATTCATGAACGATTTGCAGCAAATTTCTCTCTGCCTGAAACAAGTAACAAACCGAAGCTTGGTCGTCATCGATGAGTTTGGGAAGGGAACCAACGAAAGTGGTCTGTTCCTATCTAGATAAAGCTCTTGATGCAGACTAATTAACGCATTCAGATGGCATCGGACTTGCCTGTGGCATACTCGATTATCTGTTGTGTCTCGAGAGCCCCGCCAAAGTCATTGCAGCAACTCATTTTCATGAGATTTTCGAGAACAACTTCCTCGCTTTGCGGCCTCGCCTCCATCTTGGCCATATGGAAGTTCAAGTCTGCGAAGAAACCAGGGAAGTCGAGGACCAGATCACGTATCTTTATAAGTATGTGTAGGAACACTGGCTGCTTCTGGGTTAATGGTAAATTATGCTTACAGCTCGAACAGCTTTCGTCCGGGGCGGAGTGACAAGAGCTTCGGTACCATGTACGTCCTGATTTCTATCGTACCCGAATTTTTTTTCGTTAAAAATGATTGACTTGCTGTATAGTTGTGCGGCAATCAACGGTATCGACCCAGCTATTGTATCTCGCGCAAACGAGATTGCGTCTCTTTCGGCGCGAGGGGAGAATATTGTCGCGGCCTGTGCAGTTCTATCTTCAGAGGAGATGCAAGACCTAGAAGAAGCGGTACGAGTCTGATTTTCTAAAACGAAAAAAAAGAACGCGACTAACAGTTACTATAAGAACTCCCTAGCGAGAGGTTTCCTAGAGATCGATTTCTCACGAGGTGGCCCAGACTATGTCAAGGCAGTCTTCGAAGGCTTGTTCGAGTGAAAGGACTTATTATTATGGGACCAAGCGGATGGATGCCAATGATATCCCAAATATTCTTACGGAGTACAACATACATTTACGCCCCATGTCATGATCAATTAGCCGAACCCACGATGCCGATCTATCCCATTAGGAGAATGAAGTCCCTACTTACCTCCACTATATTCGTAGCAACCGGGGCCAAAACAATAGTGAATTTACCCCCGACTCTTACCCTGGTCATGTTAGGTGTAGCGTTTCGAAAAGAATGAGGCTCCCGACTTGCAGTTGACAGTATCTCATGCACCCCCAAATATGACCATACGGACCAAGCCAAGCATTTCTTATACAGCGTTCGCATTCTCTAGGTTGACACTACCTACGTTGCATCATAGGAAAGATCCATACTGTTACCAACCCTCAGAATCGGGGGTTCTTCTATGCCCCGCAGGTCGCAATTCTCAGATCTTGTCAAGGACTCGAAGCTCCCCACCAAGCTCGATGCGGATCTTACAACGCACACGTTTCTTGAATCAACATTAGTCGGCGGTCAGCGCGGAAGACGTTGTGAGCGCGAGGAGGTGTGGAAGAAGAAACGTTGACCTTGGCATTGGCATATTCGGTACTGTCTGGTTGGAAGAATGTGTCAGTCAAGGCAAGCTCCGGGCTGTTGAGGAGGTGCGCAAGTCGGTCCCGAGGTCAAGGTCCATGGATTATAATCGCGAGCTAGAAGCCATTACTCGTTTCTCGCAGCAAAAGGTAGGTACCTGATTGGTATCCTCGCAATATACTCCCGTCAGAATCACTGACCTACATTGATGGTTAGTATGACGGTTGCTTTGTGGAATCGTCGGGCTGGTTTGGGAACACCGAATGTCTGTTTATTGCAATGGAGTATTTCCCTCTTGGAGATCTGCAAAAATATATGACGCAGCTATTTCGGGAAAGAGAAGCACAGAAGATTACCTTCCAGCTTCTTGAGAGTCTTGACTTTATGCATAGCAACGGGTTCACTTACGGTTACCTGAAGCCTAAGGTACGCTCAATCCATGGTGCTTTTGGTTCTACAACTTCTGACCTCGAGAAGAATACCTTTGTGTCGTCTACAGGCCCAGATTGGTGTGTAAAGATCGGCGACTTCGGGATCAGAAACCGCGTCATGGAAGGATTTACAGGTCTACAAACGCTCAATGGTATGCCGGCCTTCACTGCGCCAGAGGTGTATGAACGGTTATGGGGTCTATCCCCAGACAGCGCAACGTCGGGATTGGACTATTGCCCTGGAATCGATGTATGGGGCCTGGGCGTGATCACTTACTACCTGCTCACTGGGAATTTTCCTTTCTCTGGCCATAGTGATCTACTCGAATACTACAAAGGGCGTTCGATGTTGCCTTTTGATTCAGCTTCATTCTCCGGTCAGCCGGGAAGCCTCGTCGCTTTTGGCGAGCTTGATGGCTGTGAACCCGGCAGATCGCCCCACTGCCAGAGATGCCTTGGACTATGTCTGGTTAATACCAATGCTGCAGGACTCGCAGCCCAACAACCCAGACCAGACTGCTCCAGCTATCCAAGATACAGCTATAACTGCTGCTGCTCCAAACCCGCAAATACCATCCACCGCCCAAGATGTTTTGCACCCGGGTGAGATTGGCTTAACGCCTGATGCCCCAAGGAAGCATAGCTTCAGGACAGAAAGGGCATAGCAAATGCGAACTAGTCTGGGTATCGACGGCGACACATACAAGCAGCTCATAGATACCCTGAATGATGCAAAGCTGACTCCAAAAAAAATCCTACAATGAACTCCAGCCAAACTCACTACAATCATCCATCCACAGACGCCGATTCAATCGCCCCCGCCCAATCCAGCGAGTCTCAATCTAGCAACTCGAAAAGTCTCAGAGAAAGTTCCTTCTGTTAACCTACCCTCATATAACCGTCGAAGAACCGACGCAGCTCCAATCCCAATCTCCGAGCTCTCGCAGGTAACCCCTGTGCCAAGGAGTCCGACTTCGAGAAGCCCGAGCACAAGTATCAGGAATGGCTCAGACCGGTTTTCAGAAAAGATTAGATGGGCATCTCGCAGTATTATACCGAAGCCAAATCAACCTTCTCGGGGTCATGGGCCGACTTCGCCCATTTCCCCCAATCCACATTTTATGCGTCTGCGCTTCAGCTCTGCTAACTTGCTGTGTAGCTCGAGTACTAGAAGTAAAAAGTCACAATCTATCGAGATTCCTTATCGTCCCCAATTTGAAGAGGGATTGCCCATGTTTCCTATTGGAAATGACAAAAAGCTGAAGGGTATGTTTAGCTCGACATTGTTCTGTCTTTTACCTAGATATCCGGGACTGATCATTTGTATCTAGATCGGGGACAAGAGTCTAAGTGGGGGTTATAGTAGCTAGAATTCCTGATGCATCAAGCGCATCATATACATATGTACATACTAGGAGAAGATGGATTGAGATGAATAAAACGGCTTTTGAATTCGGGTAAAACAAAAGATGGAATCGGGGTTATATACACATCGAATGCCTGAAGCTGCCCGCAGTGAACGCCATGAAAACATACACACAAAACCGTGAAGTTTATGATCAAGCACACATTCACAGTTTAACACTCTTAACAAGGTTCTTCTTGATACCCGTAAGCTCACCACCGTATCCACCGCGGCCCTCGCCGCCCTTGTACAGCTGCTTAGTACTGCCAAGCTTCTTCTGCTTTTCCTCGTACTTCTTTCTCTTCTTGACACGCGGGTTACGCGAGTCCTTGTTGCGTTTCGCGTGCAGACCCTTATTCTTCTGGATCTGGTACGTGATAGCACGCTTGCCATCCGGACCAACCTCCTCTTGCTCATAGACGTGTCCGCCAAGGCGCTCAGCCTCAGCATGGGCATCTGCACGAGCCTGCTTATCGTCCTTGCGCTTCTTGGAGCGGGATGCCACCATGTCGTAGTATTCATCGTCATCGGTGCCCTCCTTGGTACCCTCGCCGCGGCGGAGCTCCTTGGCGAGGCGACGATCCTCGTCGTCACTGTCACCGCCCAGCTGCTGGTCGGGTTGGAGTTCTTTGCGGCCGCGTTTCTCGGCCTCCGCATTGAGACGGGCTTGACGGTCACGCAGACGTTCGCGGTATGGGAGATCGGCGTCTCCGCCGGCATCTCGGCCTGCTGCGTTGCGCTTGTTGGCCTTCTGGGCCAGTTGGGAGGTGTAGAAACGGAGGGAGCGCTTCTGCTTGGCCTTCTCCTCTGCCTCGTGGGCTGTGAGGGCATCCTCGTCACCGAAGTCAGAGTCATCATTCTTGAGAGGTGCCTTGACCTTTTGTGTCTTGCGCTTCCGCGAAGGCTCGGTGGCCAGGTTCTCGAGGTCGACGAGACCGGCTTCTGTTTGGCGGAGACGCTCTGCGCGGAGAGCTTCGGCTTCTGCCTGTGCTATTTCGGCCTTGCTGAGCTTCTTCTGTTTCGGCTTCTTGGTCTCTTGGGTCTTTGGTTGCTTCTGGGCCTTAGTCTCCTTAGTAGGCTCCTCAGCGGGTTCCTCGAGCTCCTCGAGATTCTTGACAGTGTTCCAAAGCTTCCGGAATTTGACAAGCGATCCCATGACAGGGTGTTGTCGAAGTTCGGCGGGGGTCATCGGAACATGTTCGCTAGTCGCATCGGGAGATGGGGAGGAGAGGAGCATGAAGTACATGCTGATCGTGCCAAGGTATGCAGACAACGCACGGAATTTCACCACAGGCACTGGAGATGGCTGCGGCTCTTCCGAGTCGTCGTCTGTTGAAGCCTTCGAGGCTGCCTGTTGAAGATCTTTGAAGGCGCTTTGAAGGTCGACGAAGTCCTTCGTTAGGGGTTCAAACTCGGGGTATCTCGACTTCAAAATCTTCAGCTTTTCATCGGTACCCATGTCCTCAGTGATCTCGAGTTGTGGAAGCACTTCAGTCACCACGCCAGCATCGGCGCCGTCCTCGGTACCCTTGCCGGATTCCACCCATTCAGTCTCGTCAAACCCGAAATCTGCCTCATTCATAGCCTGCAACTGCTTCAATTGCAGTCGTTTGGCTTCCTGCTCTTCCTCCAATGCATCAACCTCGGTCTCGATCTGATCTGCGTTGTAAAGATCTCTCTTCGATGAGCCCCAGGCGGCAATGCCTTCATCTTCCTCCTCGGATTCAGCGCCACCCTTCTTTGGCTGGCCCATATCATCGTATTCGTCGTCTTCTGAGTCTTCGAGGTCGTCATCCTCGTCTACGGATTCATAGCCAAGGATTTCTTCGTCGGAGGGCTGGATCAATTCCTCTGCAGCGATAAGTAAGACACCGTTTGCACAAGGTGAGGTCAACATTAGAGGCACGTACCTTCCTCAGCAACTCTCCGCCGTCTCTTTGTCTCTGGGCCTTCCGCAAGTAGAATCTGATCACGGCCGGTTTGGAACTCATCTTCCGAGTCGTCGAACCGCTCTTCGATGTCGAACTTGGATGACTCAGGGGCTGTTTTTGATTGCGCCGGGCGACCAGCTTTTCTCTTTCTGCTGCCCATTTTTGCGTGTAGAAATCAAGCGACAGTGAATCAACTCAGTCCGGCCGATAAACCGTGATAAAATTATTTTTTGGCCTCTCACCGCCTTTACTGCGCTAGCCTCGAGTGGGGGCTTTTGCTTTGTTTGCACTTTGGAAATCTAAATACTGGTAATTTTACAATCTCACACATTGAATCGCCAAAAAGCAGGACAGTCTCGGGTATTTCCGTGTCACTGGTTTACTACCCCGTGCCTTCCCTTTCGTGTGCCTTCCATTTCGAGGACGACCAACAGACGCAGCTGCCATTTATCCAAGATGGATCTTCGCGAATTAATTGCTCGTTTCGATCCCCCTCAACTTCTCTCTTCCCTATTCTCCTCCCTGCAGTCTTCGTATAATAATACATCAACCCCGGTATTGGGCGCTTCCACACTCATTTGCACTATTATTGTTTACACTATCGCTAAAATGTTGGGTCTCGGATCCCGAAACGAGTTCAATGTCGAGTGGCAGGTATGTGCAAGACTACGTGATTGCTGTGGTACGTGCTGACTGGGTCTTACAGACTGTGGTAATCACCGGTGGCTCCGATGGCATGGGCAAAGCTGTCGCACTTCAGCTATCCGCAAAAGGTGCAAACGTTGTCGTGGTTGCACGCACTGTCTCCAAGCTAGTGACTGCCGTCGAAGAGATGAAGGTCAGACATCCCTCCATAATCAGTCGATCAATATTGCTCATCTATCATCCAGGCCAAGGCAGCGAATAAATTCAAGCAGAGATTCCATTATATCAGCGCCGATCTCACTGATCCGGTCGAGTGCGAAAGAGTCATCGCAGAAGTCACAACATGGAACTCTGGAGCTGTTCCTGACGTTGTTTGGTGCTGTGCGGGCTTCTCCCGCCCAGGATTCTTCATCGATGTGCCCATCCAAGAGCACCGGCAGCAAATGGACACTGTCTATTGGACCGCGGCCAATACAGCTCATGCCACCCTGCGCAGTTGGCTGGAGCCCGTTCATCCAAGTGCACAGATGAAAACATCCCGCAGGCATCTCATTTTTACCTGCTCTACCCTTGCATTCGTTCCTATCGCTGGCTATTCGCCCTACTCGCCTGCCAAGGCAGCCATTCGTTCTCTATCCGATACTTTGAACCAGGAAATCGAAATGTACAACGGAGCCTACCAACGGCACCGCGGTGCCGCCCCTGCTGCGGACGTCAAGATCCACACCGTTTTCCCTATGGGGATCCTCTCACCAGGCTTTGACAACGAGGAAAAGACCAAGCCTGAATTGACAAAGAAACTCGAAGAAGCCGACAAGCCCCAGACGCCATCGGAAGTCGCAAAAGTCTCTATCAGTGCCCTCGAGCGTGGGGAGTACCTGATCACTACCAATTTTATTGGCTCCCTCATGAAAGGCACTGCCCTTGGGGCTAGCCCAAGAAATGGCATTGTCGGTGACACTCTGCTCAGCTGCCTCAGCCACCTGGTATTCCTCCAGGTCATTCCGGAGCTTCGCAGCAAGACGTTCACTTGGGGAAAGAAGAACGGGCTTCCCAGCGCCAACGGTACTCCGGCTTCGTAACGATCGGGTATATTCCTATTTTTCTTCGCATGGTCTGTCGACTGCTTCATGTATGATGATACCCTGAGCGCTGTCTGTACGGGCCCTCTTTCAGCTGACCCTCCCAAAACCTAAACACTCTTCAATTCGTTTTAGCATTGGTTACACAGTTTTTATTGTATAGTAATGGCATGTCTATTTTCATATTTTTAGCAATTCGAACCTTTCAACCTTCCATTGACGCAGTCGTATTCCGCCATGTATATCCGGGAAGGATGACGTACGTTGTAGATATCCGCAAGCTTATCTTTTATCCTGCCACCCCATTTCCGACCTCGAAATTTCTTTGTCTCCAATTGCTCTGCCCAGACTGGATTTTCAAAGTCTTTGTCTCAAATATGAATGGCAACTGACCACAAGGTACTATTTTCGGCACAAAGAGGAATTGCTGAAAAATCAGAAACAAAACCCTCGCTCCTCCGCCGAAAGACTCGACGATAGCGATAGCACACGATACAACCAAATTCATCCTCGAGTCTTTTAACACCATTAACAGCAATTGCCGCACAAACTCGTGTGAATATGGAGGCCCTGTTCTCCATACCGATGCTGTCCGTCTTCCTCGTTCCGGTCCTGTCCTCCTACAGTACCAGCCTGAACCTCCTCTTCTTCTACATGACTTGGTCAACGCTAGTACTATCGCATTCCAGACTCCGGGTGGAACTTTTTGGAACGATCGCCGTGCGCATACTCTTCTACGCACTGCCATCCATTGTCTTCTTCCTGTTTGATATCCTGACCCCGTCGGCCGCGATTCTCATCAAGGCGCATGGCTCGACCGGCTTGCCGGGTGGCAGGAGGCGACGTCGAATCCACGCGAAGGAACTCAAGATCGCCGGGTGGGCGCTGTTCAATTTATTCTTGGGTATCGCTGTACAGGGAGTACTTGAGACGGTACTTGTCCGGATGCTCGGCAAGCGCAGTGCGCTCAAGGTATCGCTGAAGCTTCCTATGCCATTTGAGATATGTAGGGATTTGAGCCTGGCGATGCTGGGGCGAGAAGTAAGGTTATTGGAATTCCCCGACTACATTGCTGCGACGCGCTTTCTTTGATATCTAATCCAATTTGCTAACATTCTAATTTTCCTTTTGGTAGTTCCTCACATATGTTATTCACCGCTATGCTCTCCACTCGAGATGGTCTCCTATGCTTGCCAAACGGCACCGGAACTGGTATCATTCGTTGCCTGCTCCGTTCCCACTGACCGCGCATTACGACCACCCGATCCCTTATCTGGTTAACAAGTTCATCCCGACCTATGCACCGGCCATCATCTTCCGTTTCCATATGCTTACCTATCTTTTGTACCTACTGTTTATCTCTATAGAGGAGACCTTCGCATACTCTGGATATACTGTCATGCCGACAAACTTCTTTTTGGGTGGGATCGCCCGTCGCACAGATATGCATTTGTTGATGGGTGCAAGGGGGAACTTTGGCCCATGGGGTATTATGGATTGGATCTTTGGTACTGTTGTTGGAGACCCGCATAGCGACGATGAGTTGAGTGATGAGCCAGACGAGCGGGATATACGGAAAGCGTATGAGCCTGCCAAGCGAAAGGCTGTTGTTGAGTCTTCGGCAAAGGCAAGGCGACGATGAGACGACCATTGACGAGTATATGATGAATCATTGGGGCTGCAGCTATGTAAATTTGTCTTTGGTTTGCCTTTTATTTGGAGTGTGAAGTTGGGGTTGTTCTGTATGTCGTCTAAATCTACGATATATCTTCGAGAAGGTTACACTTTTGGGCTGTATGGCATTTGCGAAATGCCATCATTCTTAATGTCAAAATCAGTTTGATATACCTCAATTTAATACAATTCAAGTGCTATTCAATCATTAGCTATGAGGGCATACAAGCCTCGTACTTAAACCCTAAAATCGACAGACGGATTGGTGGCTGCCACTAGACCCATTACAGAGGGGTATCAGATCTGGAAAACTTACTAACTTGTCATGACCTCATTGAATGCCATGATAATACAGCTGAACAGCCACTGTGATATCCATTGAGCAACGCAAATTTGTGCCATGAGACAAGATCTGGTTTATACTTGTCTACGCCTAGATCTGGAGATCTTTACTCCAGTTCCACGTGGGATATCCACTCGATTGAAGACAAGGCCCAGCAACCTTATATTTTAGCGGCTTACAGATATTACACGCATAGATGAATCGAAGGAATTGCCCAATTTTGGATTGCCGCCTGAACCTTGAAATGGGAGTAGGTCATACTGAACATAAAAGAGAATCCAGCCCGCCTGCTGGAACGAGGTGATTTTTGATCTTTTTTTTTTTGCTTGAAGTCTTTCTTCATAACGCAGCTTCATGCAAAATCAGCCACGCGCAAAAGGAACGGGTTTCTTGAAACATGAGAACGACATCGGGTTGTCCGAATTACCCGCAAATCATAAGGAAAGTGAAAAACGTGTTTTGACGGATCCCGTAGGAATTACATGACATGGTTCATGAAACCGGCCCCCCGAAAGTCGCGAAAGGATGCCGATCTGCAATCGAGCCGCCCCTCGTTGGAAAAATGGTCCTCCCCAACTATCTACCGAACCCGCGGCTACCACACATTTACCACTTCATCTCGTGGGGCTTGTCGCCGTTTCGGAGGCTGAAGGTGGTAGCGAGGTAGCTGCCGAGGAAATCCTCCTTCTTGATGGAGGCAAGGATAGACTGGTCGATAGCCTTCTGGTCGCTGGCGCGGGCGCTGGCAACAACCTTCTTCTGCAAAGACAAAGAAAGTAATTAGCATTTGATCACTGCAAATGTTATCTTAGACAAGATGCGTACCTCGGCCTTCTCGCCCTGCTTGAAGAAAGCCTCCTCGGTCTTCTTCTCAGCCTTCTTGTCCTTGGTGAAGTATCCGGGAGCGGAGATCTTCTCAACGGCCTTGGCGTCAACACCGCTGATGTCGACACGCTTGGAGGTGGCGATAACGTAGCGGGCGTTCACGCGGCGGAGAGGGACACCGTTGATCTTGAAGGGACCGGTGACAAGGAGGACACCCTGGTCGAGGGACTTGAGGAGGATGACACGCTTGCCACGGAAACGGCCAGCGAGGAGGATCAGGATGGTGCCGGGAACGAGGGTCTCGCGGACCTTGGCGGGACGCAGGGTCTTGCGAACCTGTAAAAACACAAAGTAGTTAGTCTCCGATGTCACACAAATCCCAGCGATTCCCGCGAATCCCCAAGTATTTCCATCGCTATAGCCGGGTCTTCCCCAGATGATATGCGATTCGCACAAGATCACAAGATTTGATGAACTTTTGTGTCGCCGATTGACACCGGTATCTGGCTGGATGTCGCCCCGTAATTTTTCACACAAAGGCTCTTCCTCAGAATACCGGTGCTATCGTCGCAATCATCGGGGCAGATGTGTGCCGGTCGTATGTCCTCCTCTTTTTTTGTGCCGTCCCATTCTCATAGGGTGTACTGACTTTCTTGGGCTGCGACTGATCGTCCACGGGGTACCACTTCTGGGCCTTGTCGGCGGGCACGACCCTCTGGCTCTTCCCGAACTGCTTCGTCTGGCCGTCCGACATGATGGCTGCTGGCGAAGGATGAATGGTTGTCGGGGTGGTTGTTGGAGATTTGGGTGAGGACTTGGACTGCTAAGCGGAGTCGGCTCCAGTGCGGGAATTCGTCGAGGGTTGTGTGTACAAAGCCCTATCACGTGTTTAACCGACAGCCCTAGCCAATTTTGGAAAGCGGAAACTCAGCACGTTGATGCCATGTCCGTGAGGCCATTTTGTATGGGCGACTGTAAGACCACTTGCGCAGAAGCACTGCTCAACAGAAACAACTGACGTATACCGCTCGCAGCCTCTCTCTTTTTTCTATATACTCTATCTCTTACATCCTCCAAGACCCTTTTTTTTTATCTACCTGGGGACTGCAAATTCTGTCAATACGGTCCTATCTATTATTGGATCTCTGTTCAGAATCAAAATCCCAACATGTCGATAGCTCCGATCATCACCTTCAAAGCAGGTATCTGCGACCTGGATGTACGTGAGCTTAGCTTTCCGGAGTTTGATCATCAACTCCATCATTCCGGATATCCACTCGTATCTACATTGCAACTTTACTGACCGTTCCAATTCAGACCTCTAGCACTCCTGCCGCCGTGAAGCCGAAGCCCACTCCAGGCTATGTCTATCTTTATTCCGAAGAGGATCTTATCCACTTCTGCTGGCGCTCGCGTAACGCCTCCCTAGACGAGCCCGAACTTGACCTGGTGATGATTCCTTCAGATGGCAGCTTTACTCCCTACAAGCCATCCGGTCAGGACGCAACGAATGGCCGGATCTTTGTCCTGAAATTCTCCTCTAGCTCTCAGCGATACCTGTTCTGGATGCAGTCTCACTCCCAGCATGAGAGAGGTGACCCGAGCTGGTTCAGCCCCCGTGACTTGAAGCTTGGAGAAATTGTCGATGTTCTGTTGCAGGGTGAGGAGGTTGATGTAGAGCACGAGATCGCCAATCTTCCTCGCCGGTCCTCGGGCGGTGATGACGATGAGACCATGGAGGACGTGGAAGGCACCGACCATGATCGCGGCCGATACCACAGCACAGGCAGCGGGGGTGCTGGCCTCGATGCGACCGGCGGCGACGTGCGTGAGGAGGGACAAGAGTCGCGGGAGGGCGGTGCTGACGGTGGACGAGCGTAGGTACATATCTCTGACAGCGTTGATATGGGCCACCCAAACTAATTTTCCATTTTGTCTCCTCTGCAGAGCGACTACCGGGGAAGATCCAGCCTCAGTTGTCCAGGACTTTTTGAAGTCTCTGGGCGGCCGCCAAAGCCAGAGCCAATCCCAAGATCCCGAACGACCATCTACGACACTACAAGACCTCCTTCCACCCTCGACCACGCTACAATTTATCGATTCTGCTGATACGACTACTGCCGATCATCTTCTGAGCTTCTTGCCGCCTGCACTACTT